CCTTGACTGATGAAGCCTTCCGAATCGAAGGCGAAACGTTTCAGCACAAAAAAAGAAACTGTGCAGATGACCTGACTGAAAAATGTTGGGTTAAATCAGTATGATTTAAGTTTTGAGTCTTTTCAGTAACCCAACAGTCCTCTAACCCATCCTGCCCAAAAACAGAATTACATTATTAAAGATGCACTGATGAAAAAAAAAAAAACAAGAAGTCTTTGTTTAAAGTGACAAACGACACTTCTGTGTGCTGTCAGGTTTAAATTAAACACAGGAGTGGCTACAAGGAGTACATGATGTTAAAATTTCATGGTGCCAAAACCACTGAAGTTCTCTGTCATATCGTTCTTACAGTTTGAATGGCCGAACCTGTTCCTCTGAGCCAATGCTTTTATGCTTGTTTTAAAAAGACACTGTCAGCTGGTTGCACATCTTATCCAGCAGAAAGCACAATCAGTTACGCCTTGTCTACCACAAAATAAATAGTCACTTCTCTTTGTAAGGTTACATTGTTTTGAAACAAATGTTTGAAACAAGCTACAAGAATTTGCATGTTAGCATGTGAAATATAGGCTCGCTACAGAGGCTAATAACCTGCTAACATCAACTCTCAGCTTTACAAAGAGCAGATCAGCAGAGAAGTAATATTTTGTGCACTGAGTACAATTATGTTAGAATAAAACAACAAATTAATCTGGTGTAAGAGTTTTTAGTTTGCCACTTGTGAAGCAGATTTTAAAAAACAAGCTTTTATTTTCTAATTTTCTTAAAGGGAAACAAACCTCATTTCTACAGAACAGTATCAAAGGAGAAACCGCACTCCCAGTGAGCAGCAGATGTTCATGTGAAATTCTGCCTACAGTCTCTGAACAAACTGCTAATAGTGAATTATGTCCACAATGTTCTATTCAATCTGTTTAAAAATGACCATTTTAAATCTGCTCATTGACTCTCTGGTGCTAAATTAAAATTAGTCTCAATGCTTATGAATAAACTTAACTTGCACTTCCCAAGCACAGAAAAAAGCTGACAGATTTAAAACAGAATGAGTGTCGTCTAGGAATGCGCGATATAAACGGTACACTGTGCAAACGATAGAAATTTAGCCTATGATAGAGATCTGACTTCTAGTGGCTAACCGCAGTAATGCTGTGTCTGATGTAAAATCAGAGTTGTCAGATTTAATCGTTACTTTTTTTGAGTTGAAAATTGTGCGCAAGTGGCGTTAAAGTCTTTTCTTCGAGAGCTAAGTAGCGAAGCTACAAGCTAACTATAGCCGGCTTGCCGTAGTGTTGCCGTATTCTGACGCATGCGCAAAACGCTGTGTTCTGTCAAAAGTTTTTTTTTTTCCATCGAAAGTTAAAGTAAGCGTTGGTCAGCTTTAGAGAAACCTGTTCTCTGATCTGTGAAAAGAACACTGTGTTGTGTGATTTTACTGCGAGACCCTCTGGTCAAAGCTACAGACTCATTTTGTGTCAACTCTCCTTAAAGTAGAAGGAGTCGCCCACTAGAGGGTTCAGTGGTGGGATGTAACTAAGTACAAATACTTTGTTACTGTACTTAAGTACATTTTTCATGTATCTGTACTTTACTTAAGTACAGTTAAATGTGGGTACTTATACTTTTACTCCACTACATTTTACATCAAGTATCTGTACTTTCTACTACACCACATTTCTATAACGTGTTGCATTACAAGTTACATTCATGTTGCAGCTTTTTGATTTGTTTGTTACTTTGAAAGTAACCAATGGTGAGAGGGGAGTTGGTTCATTGAATCACTGCAAAGTGGGCAGGTAACGTTAGGCCCGCCTTCAAGAAGAGCTGGGCCAATGACATATGTTCTAGTATATATGTCACTGAGCTGGGTGCACCCACAGCACCACTAACACACCCAAAATGGATTCCACCGCAAGAGAGTCACCCAGAAGATATGCTCCACCCATGGTCTTATTGAAAGACTGTTCAGTACAACAGGACAGCTTCTCTCTCCCAAAAGAGACAGACTGGGCTCCAAAATCTTTGAAAACCAACTTCTTCTGAACTTGAACAAAAAATTCTTGCTGCAATATTAAAACGTTTCAGTTCATGGAATGTTAGGACAAGAGACAAGAGATGTCTCCAAATGTCTCGACATTCAGGTCCAAGTTTTAAAAATGTGTCAGGAGGTTAAAATATTGTTCACTATTGACCCATTACAAGGTTGAACAGACAGTATTTTAACTAGAGTTGATGACAAACTGGAGTTGAAATATCAGTTGAAATGATCAGAGCCTCTTTGTTAGTTGTGTCTAATGCTCCTTTTGTTCAGGCAGACAACTTTTACTTAAATGTGTTTACTGAAGTTAAAATGACACATTGGTTTTGCTTTGTGTTAAATAAAAACTTTCAAAGTTATAATCATTCCTTTCTTATTTTGATTAATGACATTTAACTCTGCATGTCATCCCTGAAATTCTGATTCACAGAATCACAAGTCCAAGTGTGAACTGTGTCACAGAGTAAACACAATAAAAACATGTATTATCTGCAGCGTTGTTCATTAAAATGGCTCAACACTATTAATGTATTACAGATAATATACATATGGTACGCAGACTTAAAGATATGTAGACCATTGTATTAGGTAATACATTCAGTAAGTACTTTTACTTTTTATGCTTTAAGTATTTTAAAAGCAAGTACTTATTTACTTTTACTTAAGTAAAAATGTTAATGTGGTACTTCTACTTTTACTAGAGTACATTTTTGTCTATTTATTTGTACTTTTACTTAAGTACAGTGTTTGAGTACTTTCTCCACCACTTGGAGGGTGAAGTGTTTCTGTGTAAAATGCTGCTCTGTTGCTGTTCATTTCTTAAGTGAGAATACTGGAAACTGTTAAGAGTTAACAGCATGTTCTTTTGTTTAAAACATATATCTAAAACTACATTTGATATCTTTTGCACTGTTTTGCACTACAAGAAAGAAGCCCAATACTTGATTTGTTTATTATTTTAAAACTCTCTGGACTTAGTAGTGGAATTTTCTTAATTCAAAATATATGATGGCAAAAGGACACCCTATGCTTTTTTAAATTCCTATTGCAAGTTTTATACCAAAAACATATCGCGATATATATAGTTATCGCCACCCTTCACAATACATATCGTGATATGAATTTTATGCCATATCGCACATTCCTAGTGTCGACATGTTTACTTGTGTTCTGTCAGTCTCTTTATTATATTGGTATATTAAATTTTAAATTATTAAATTAAAATTAGCATTAAGTATTATATTATTATAACCATAATATAATCATTATAAAGCAAAGTGTGATAATATTAATGCAGCAGTAGTAAAAGTATTTGCATTTCTGTTTTAAAATCAAGTATGTTGTGGTATTTCTGCTCGTGGTTATCATCCAGTCAGAATCTACTGGTCCCTGCCTGGTCTAAAATACAGATCAAAATCTGAGAGGGAAACAAGCTGTTTGAGCAAAACAATAAACTGAAAACCACCAAACAAGTTCTGATGAAGACGCACATCACTTACAGGTCTGATGTCACCAACTTTTACTGGAAGCTTCAGATTGTTCCTAATGCCACGTCCTTTCCATTATTGTCCTGGAATGACACATCAGACAGCCTGTGAATATCTTTGGTCAGGTCGGAAGAAAAACAACAACACTTTGGAGTTAATAACTTCACATTATATTTAAGTAAATTCCAAATAAAAGTAAGCACTGCTCAACAGCTGCAGGGTGAACGCACACAGTGAGCAGACAGCTGATGGGAACAGGTGCTGAGGTTTCTCCTGGCAGCTTAACGCAGCTCGGAGCTACGCCCGAGTCCCTCGTGCATGAGCACAAATGCTTGTAGCTTACCTGCATCCTTCTCTGAACCAACTGTGCTACAGCCCAAACTGAGCTTTCAAATGAGAGCAGGAGGTTGTGCCAGTGATTAGACTGTACATGATTTTTTTTCTATTAACTCTTTTTTTAACTAAATTTAACTTAAAAGTCTAAAGGAAATTAAACTATCATGCAGACTTAAAAACAAGAACTCATACCTGAGAACAAAAAGAAACACATCAACAAATGTACTGTTAGTTTTACTAAACAAAGCCCTTCTCTAATTTTCCCAGCAGTGGGCCAGATGTGGTCCAGTGTGGTGCAGTATTTAAGAAACAGCAGCTGGAGTAAATTCATTTACTTAAGTGAAATGATTGTAATTGTAAGCTACCTCTCTTCTCAAACAGGAAATGGCTGTTGTCACCATCCCTCCCTTTATTGACAGATAACAGCAGAAATCAGTAATTAATGGCTGCATGATTTAATGTCTGTCCTGAGCATCTTCTCATCTCCATGGAGACCGAGGAGCAGCACGGAGCTCAACTGAAGCTGTTTGACCAATCACCTTCCCCACAGCTCTGAGTACAGCCTCACCACATGGGTCCGGACACACTAACCTTTTACACTGGAAACAGTCTTTGTTATCACTCCCATTCACATAATACAGCAATAATGAGCAAGCTGCACCGGTATTCAAACTATTGCTACTCTTTACTCTTGGTGTTGAGTAAATCAAAAACAAAATTAGATTAAAGTTCTAGCCTGCATTTTTTTAAAAATGCATATGACCCACCACTTTTCATGCCAGAGTGTTAAACTGAGATTATCTGATGTTGAGAAATTACAAAGTTATTGTCATTTTAGTCAAACCCTAAAAAAATTACTGTAAATAATCTCAGGTGATATCACAAAATGACATGCTCAGTGTATGTGTTATGACTATGGTGGCCATTTTGAAAGGAATTTAATCAAAAGGTTGCCGGTTCAAATCCCAGCTTGGGACCTTTCTGGGTGGAGTTTGCATGTTCTCTCCGTTCTTATGTGGGTTTTCTCTGAGTACTCCAGTTTCCTCCCACAGACCAAAAACATGCATGTTAGGTTGATTGGTAACTCTAAATTGTCTCTAGGTGTGAGTGAGAGAGTGGATTGGAGAGTTTGTCTCATTTGTCTCGATGTGGCTCTGTGATGGACTGGAGACCTGTCCAGGATGTCCACCACCTCTCACACAGTGACTGCTGGATATGGACACCACTGACCCTCATGACCAATGTATGAATGTATGTATGTATGTACAAACCTGATTCCAAAAAAGTTGGGACACTAAACAAATTGTGAATAAAAACTGAATGCAATAATGTGGAGATGGCAAATGTCAATATTTTATTCGTAATATAACATAGATGACAGATCAAACGTTTAATCTGAGTAAATGCAACATTTTAAAGGAAAAAATGTTGATTCAAAATTTCACAGTGTCAACAAATACCAAAAAAGTTGGGACAAGTAGCAATAAGTGGCTGGAAAAAGGAAATTGAGCATATAACGAACAGCTGGAAGACCAATTAACACTAATTAGGTCAATTGACAACATGATTGGGTATAAAAGAGCTTCTCAGAGTGTCAGTGTCTCTCAGAAGCCAAGTTGGTAAGAGGATCACCAATTCCACCATTGTTGCGTAGAAAGATAGTGCAGCAATACCAGAATGGTGTTACCCAGCGTAAAATAGCAAAGACTTTTAAGTCCTCATCATCAACCGTGCATAACATCATCAAAAGATTCAGAGAATGTGGAACAATCGCTGTGCGTAAGGGTCAAGGCCGTAAAACTCTACTGAATGCTCATGATCTCCGGGCCCTTAAACGTCACTGCACCTCAAACAGGAACGCCACTGTCAAGGAAATAACAGAATGGGCTCAGGAATACTTCCAGAAAGCATTGGCAGTGAACACAATCCACCGTGCCATCCGCCGTTGCCAGCTGAAACTCTACAATGCAAAGAGGAAGCCATTTCTAAGCAAGCTCCACAAGCTCAGACATTTGCACTGGGCCAGGGGTCATTTAAAATGGAGTGTGGCAAAATGGAAGACTGTTCTGTGGTCAGATGAGTCACGATTTGAAGTTCTTTATGGAACACTGGGACGCCATGTCATCCGGACCAGAGAGGACAAGGATAGCCCAAGTTGTTATCAACGCTCCGTTCAGAAGCCTGCATCACTGATGGTATGGGGTTGCATGAGCGCTTGTGGCATGGGCAGCTTGCATGTCTGGAAAGGCATCATTAATGCAGAGAACTATGTTCAGGTTCTAGAACAACATATGCTCCCATCTAGACGTCATCTCTTTCAGGGAAGACCCTGCATTTTTCAACACAATAATGCCAGACCACATTCTGCAGCAATCACAACATCATGGCTACGTAGGAGAAGGATCTGGGTACTGAAATGGCCAGCCTGCAGTCCAGATCTTTCACATATAGAGAACATTTGGTGCATCATAAAGAGGAAGGTGCGACAAAGAAGGCCCAAGACGATTGAACAGTTAGAGGCCTGTATTAGACATGAATGGGAGAGCATTCCTATTTCTAAACTTGAGAAACTGGTCTCCTCTGTCCCCAGACGTCTGTTGAGTGTTGTAAGAAGAAGGGGGGATGCCACACAGTGGTAAAAATGGACTTGTCCCAACTTTTTTGGGATTTGTTGACACCATGAAATTTGGAAACAACAGATTTTTCCCTTAAAATGATACATTCTCTCAGTTTAAACTTTTGATCTGTGATTTGTGTTCTATTCTGAA